TTTGGGGTTTTCATTCTTTCATTGTTGCACTGTTTTCTCTACCCTCCTTCCCAGTTCGTTCTTCTTCCCCCTCTCCCCGAATGTCTGTTTTAATTGTAGTTTTTGGAATTCTTAAGTTGAAAGAACTGAAAAACTGAATATAAGCCTTGAGTTGCAATGCTAAGAGATGCTATTGGTAAAATCTTTAATGACCCAGGAAGCATAAAAAAAAGATGGAGGAATAAACAGAATCACTGTAGCAAGAAGAAATGGCTTACACTGAAATGTTTTAGGAAGTATCATGTGATCAAGAAGCAACAGTAATGAAGTTATAGCTGCACTGAAGGCGTTGGCATAAAATAAGGCCCCAGGAATCAATGGGATACCAATTGGCATATATCAACTGACAGATGCAGCCGTGGACAAATCACTAGTCTATGCCAGGAAATTTGCTGGACAGCTGTCTTGCTGACTGACTGGAAGACCAGATCTATATTTGTTTCCATTCCTAAGAAAAGTGATCCAAAAGAATGTAGAAGTTGTAGAACTTTATCACTAATATCTCATGTGAGTAAAATACTGCTGAAGATCATTTAAAAATGGCTATAAAAGCACATTAATAGAGAACTGCCAGAAGTTCATTCTGGGTTTAGAAGAGGTCGTGGTACCAGGTATATCATTGCTTATGTCAGATGAACCCTGGCTGAGGGGAAAGAATAGCATAAGTCTGTCTATTTGTGTTTTATTGACTATATAAAGCCATTTGACTGTGTAGATCATAACAAACTATGGCTAAAATTGAGAAAAATGGCAACCCAAGAAAACTTAATTATGCTTCTGTGAAACCTATACCTAGACCAAGAGGCTTTTGTGCAAACAGAGCAAGAAAATAATACATGATTTAAAATAAAGAGAGTGAGTGTCAGGGTTGGATCCTTTCTTCACACCTATTCAATTTATATTCTGAGTACATTATTCAAGAAGCTTGAGTCTACAAAGAATGTGGCATCAAGATCAGAGAAAGTCTCATCACTAACATACTTGCTTACTGAAAGAAGAGCAAAGACCACTGCACCTTCAATATGGATTGCATCTCAATGTAAAAATAACCAAAAATTCTCCCCTCTGGACTGATAAGCAGCATCATGATAAAGGGAGAAAAGACTGAAAATATCAACAACTTCCTTTTACTTAGATCCACCATCAACACTCTTGGTACCAGCAGTCAGGAGATCAGGAGACACATTTCTCTGTGAAAATCTGCAGTCAGGGACCTCTCCAAATCTTAAGTACTAATGGATTCAGGCCATGGTCAGTCATTCGCGTCTGAGATCTAGACATTAATATGGATGATACAAGAAGAATCCATGCCTTTGAGTTGTGGTGTTGGAGAAGAATACTGATTGGTCTGCCAAAATTACAAATAGATATGTCTTGAAGAAGGTGCAGCCAGTATTCTCCATAGAGGCAAAAATGAGAAGCTTTATCTCACATACTTCAGGCATATTTCTAGAAGCTGTTCCTTGGAAAGAGACATCATGCTTGGAAGGGTGGAGAGTTGGAGTAAGAGAGGAAGATTCTCAGTCCAATTGATCGACATGGTGGCTGCAACAAAGAGCTCAAGTATGTCAGAGGTTGTGAGAAAGGCACAGGATAGAACAGGGTTCAGGTCTGTTTTCACAGGGTTGCTATGAGTCATACTCATCTCAACAGCACCTAACAACAACATAAACATTTAACCCATATGTATGTAAAAATATGTATGTAATAAACATTTGTTAGTTAGTTATATGTGTATTTATGTCATAAAGAGAGCTCTGGTGGCCTAGTGGTTAAGGAAATGCACTGCAGATCTAAATTTAGATGGTAGTTTAAATTCACCAGCTCAGCTTCTAATCATGATTTCAGCAGAGTCTTGCTTGCATGTGATTTTAATGCTGTGTGCGTGATAATTTCCACACTCTGTTAGATTCTCTTTCTTTGGAATGGGAATAAATATACATTTCTTCCAGCCATTTTGCCATGTGGTTGTCCTCCAGATTTTCTTGATACAACTTGGTGAATACATCCAGGGAAGCATCAGTTTGTTGAACTATGTCATTTGGTAAGCCATTCCTGGATCCTTGTTTTTTGCCAATTATTTCAGAGCAGTTGGAACTTCTTCCTTCATCACCACAGGTTCTTGTTCATACATTGTTTCATGAAATTCTTCTGTGTCAGACAATTCTTTCTGGTACAGTGATCTTGTATACTGTTTCTAACTTCTTTTAATGATTCCTGGATCATTTTAGTATTCTATCTAAAACACCCTTAGTTACTGCAACTCGTGGCTTAAATTTGTTCTTCAGATCCTTCA